TTTTCTGATTGATCCCTAACAAAGCAGCATTTAAGTATTTATTTTCAATTTCATTAATTCTGCCTTTCATTTACTGAATCCTACTCGTTTGCTTATTCAATGTGTTATCTATTTCTGAAATCTTAGTGTTAATATTCTGGATTTCTATTTGTTGTTTTTGTACAGTTTCTAATTTTTCATTTATTTTGTCAATTTGTTCATCTATTGTTTTCCTAAAAGTTTCTATAATTTTGTCTGTGTTTTCCTTGGTTTTGTCCGTGTTTTCTTTGATCTTATCAGTGCTTTCCTTGATCTGTTTTCAATTCTTTTAAGGTAACTAAACTCCTCAGAAGGAAGAGTGGGCAATCTACTTCCGTAGTGATACTGCCTCAGAAACCCAAGGAGGGGTTGCTATGAGTTGGGTCCGACTCGACGGCACATAACAACAGCAAACATAATTATTTTGATTCCTTATCAGGAAGTTCCAATGATGCTTTTCTGAGTTTGTATCTTGGTCCCTTGTTTGTACTACTTTATCTTGCTTCTTTGTGTGGACTGGATGGTCAGTTGTCTCTGAGACATTGTGGTGTTGTTGTACTTATATTTAATTTGTGGTTGTATGTTGGTGTGATTTACCCAAGTTTTTTTTTTTTTTTTTAAATATATATTTGTGTCAGCAGAGTACTGTGCTCCTCTATTCATTAATTGGCAGCACTTATGCTCTCACCATCTGTCTCCTGGTGAGTGTGATAGAGAATGAGAGTGTGTGCACAGATCTCAGTTAGCTGTTTGTGAAGAGCAGTTCAGAGTGAGTCAAGCTGGTACTGGTCTCTGTCTTTCATTGGTCAGTTGGTGCAGGAGCAAGTGGTGGCCCTCACTCAAGTGGGTGGGGGCTGCAGGAGGTGTGGGTATGGGGGGTCATGTGAGAACTTATTTAGAAAAAAAAATTTTTTTTAATCACAAAAAACTAAAAATAAAAAGGAACAATCACACACAAAGAAAGGGAAAGGCAATAAACTAGAATAAAAATTTTAAAAATACACTTATGTATTTGTAGATGAAGAGAAAAAAAAAAAAAAACACCAGTTCTGGGGAGAATGTAATGAGAGAAAAGAGCAATAGTAAAAGAATATTAAAGAAAAAATGTAAAACTAAGGAAAAGAAAGCTAAGGGATGGGAAGAACCAACAGAAGAAAAGAAAGAAAAAAGAAGGGAACCAAGAAAATGGGTGGAGGGGAACCAGGGAAGGGAAAGAGAAAAAAATTAAAAGGAAGAAAGAAAGAAGATAAAAAGAATAATTTAAAAACAAACAAACAAAAACAAAACTGGGGGTGGAGGGTGGGGTACAGGTACCCAGGCTCTGTCAGGGCACACAGACCAAGATGGAACTCCTCCTGGTCCAGAAGGTGAGTGGAGGTGGGGGATAATTCTCCTCTGTTCACCAAGAGGAAGCAGGGTATAAGAGTAACAAGGGGGAATATCATATCTTTCTAGTCATCAGCCTCCAGTGTGGTTAGCCATGTCGTCCTTGACAAGTGGAGCCTATTCTTAGGTTGCTGCCCAGATCAGGCTCTTTTACTAGTTGGTATTTAATCCACTTCTTTATCCTTCCCTTCAAAACTCAGGGTTCCAGGATTATCTTCTGTATCTGTTTCAATTGGTTTCTCATTTCTCTGCTGCAGAGGGTCTGTGTAACTTGTCTGCCTATTCCTCCACCTTTCTGGAAGTCCTCCTGAAGCATTTTTTAATCTCTATTAAATTAACCTTGCTGCAGTGTTCATTGGGTCTGGAACATATGCAAACCTCCCAAAATCTGAAACAGTAAAACTCACAACCACTAACAATTGAAACCTTTAGCAAACCAGCAGGAGCTCTGGTAGCATAGTGCCTAAGATACTTGGCTGCTAACCAGAAGGCTGGTGGTTCAAACCCACCATCCACTCCTCGGAAGGAAGGTTGGGCAATCTACTTCCGTAGTGATACTGCCTTGGAAACCCAAGGAGGGGTTGCTATGAGTTGGGGCCAACTTGATGGCACATAACAACAAACAACAACAACAAGCAAACCAGCACTGTATTTGTTGAATGGAACATCTAGATGCTCTCCTAAGTCAATGCTAAGTAAAGATGAAAATGAAAAGGGAGCTTAATGACCCACTTTGCACAAGAAAAACATGCTGGGCAAGCCAAAACCCATGGTAGTGCTTAAAATGGGACATCAGTAAGTATAGACCAAAGGAAGGGTAGGTTGAGAGGCTTGCTACATCCTTATCTTGGGCTGCTAACATAACAAAAATGACAATATATTTTAGTAATTCACTTAACTCTAACAACAACCCTCTCAGGAAAATACTGTTATTAGCCCTATTTTACAGGCGAGGAAACCAAGTCCTGAGGGATTTTATGACTCACCTGAGAACCCTGTCCTTGTCTTATAATAGCACCTGCCACAATCACTGTAACTAATTGTCTAATTTTCTTCCCCAGGGTGGAGTAATCCTGTTGAAGTTAGGAATCATGTCTGCCTTGTTCTCAGTTATAGCCTTCCAGCCTAGGGAAGAGTCTGACTCATCTTCTACTGAATAAATAATATGAAGAAACTGGTAAGTTTGTGTGCTGTACTGCTGGGCAGGAACCTATTTTCAAAGCAAACTGTAGAAGCCTATGCTCTGATCATGGCCCCCAGTGAATCAAAGCTATTTTATATATATTTTATCTTTTGCAAGTCTGAATTTCTCAATTTTTCCATTTCTCTATTGGAAAACAAGATCTCCTCAAATGTGTTCAATTGAAAGCAGATGTCTAACCACAGAAAAACACTGAATTTTAAAGATAACACATTACTTTAACACATGAAATGAATAAATTTTCTCATTGTTCTTCTCTATGAGCATGGCTTTAGAACCTTTTTATTAAAAAAAAAAAAAACTGTATCATACTGAAAACTATGCTTTGTAATATAAACCTAAAATAAACACTTTAATGGGCACTTAAGATATATTACAAAAAAAAAGGAAAAACATTTAGTGCACAACTGCAATACTAAGAATTTTGCATACATGTGTCATTTAATGCTCAAAATCACCATGACTCTACTATACAAATTAGGAAACTGAGGCTCAGAAGAATAAATTGCCCAATGTGATACAGCTAATAAGTGGCAGGATCTAAATCCATATCAAGGGCTGTCTGGTAACATTTGTGCTTTTCTGATATTGCCTCTAAGAAATAAGAATAGAAAGGAATGCCTCAACAATGCTTAATAGAGATCATGTGGATCATTAAATGTATAAATTAACCAGTCACTAGACTTCTTCCCCATATGAGCCACTGTGTAATTAATTATACATGCCAAATCCTATGGAAGCAGTAGCACTTAGTCTAAAGCTATAAGACCCCACTCCAACCCACTCCGTCATCTGCTCCAGTCCTTGATGCACCAAGGCCCTGGGGCCTTCTTTGTGGTAGGGACACAGAATAGTTGCCAGGAACCCAGAGGACAGTCCTCAAGACTGTGGTACCTAAGCATGGCATGCAGGAGCAGTGAGTCCACTGGCCTCACAGAACAGATGATAGAGACTTGGAGAATCCTGTATTGAGCAGCTATTATTTTCCAGACTCTCTTCTAAGCACTGGCTACACAGGCAGAAATAAGAAAAATGAGGACCCTGTACTTATGGAACTTTCAGTGACAACATGAGCAGTAACCAACATGGATCAAAGACTAGAGAACTCGCCTAGAATGTTCTCTATTATGTAAGATGTCCCTGACAGGAAGCAGTAAGAACTGCGATTACATTTCCTCCAGTTCAGTGGGATGAGGAATTTGGAGCACATTAAATACGACTGAAAAGAAATGTGACTTTTTAAATATCTTGTGCTACAGAATAAAATTTATACCAAGTACATCTTCTATCTATGATGTAACTAAGCTGGCTCCATACCCCTCAACCCCCGGAACAGTCATAAAAGCTGAGGAGAGTGACTTGCTACCTTATTACTCTGTGATATGTGCTCAGGACATCTAACCTCACTCACCCATGCTTACAGTTGGTCTAACCATAATTTAGGGTTGAGAATATATCTCCAGCTTCATTTAAAGTCATGTCACCCGTTGCTAAGTAAATAAGAAGGAATAGTATCCTAGTGATGACAGCTGCCCAGCATTACCTAGGCTTTGAAACCTTGTGTTAATACCAGCTTTTCTTCATTCTCAATCAGATGTCTGATAGAAATCAGTGCATTAAAATTTACCAGGGATTGACTATTCATAAGGTCTTTAGGAGTGCTAGGATTTCTGGTGGTGCAGTGGGTAAGACATTTGTCTGCTAACCATTAAGTCAGTGGTTCAAACCCACCAACTGCTCTGTGGGAGCAAGATGAGGCAATCTACTTCAGTAAATATGTACAGCCTTGGAAACCCAATGAGGGTTGCTATGAGTCGGAATTGACTTGATGGCAGTGGGTTGGGTTTGGTTTTTTTGTTGTTTGTTGTTGTTATGTGCCGTGGAGTCGGACTCAACTCATAGCAACCCCTCCTTGGATTTCCGAGGCTGTATCACTACGGAAGTAGATTGCCCAACCTTCCTTCCAAGGAGTGGCTAATGGGTTTGAACCGCCAGCCTTCTGGTTAGCAGTCAAGTGCCTTAGGCAACCTTTCAGAGAACAAATAACATTCATGAATCCTGAAAACCAAGGCTGAAGGCTGGGTCTTGTGATCATGGTGGCAGCTGATGTCATTCTTTCTTTTTCCTTCCTCAAAATCTTTTTAGCTCTGTTCTTTACCACTTCAAAGAAATGCACTGCCTTGGGAAAGATCACATTATACCCAACAGCCAAAGGAAGGGCATCTATGAGATCCCACCTACCTCTAATTAGATAGTCTTCAGTTCACTCTGGTCCTGGGTGAGGCATAAGGGATGATTGAGATTTGAGGATCATGTTCATCAAGGTTCAAGAGGCTGGGCCCTCCCAGAAAGATACCCAACAAAATCTGTAATAGCAAATGAATTTGTTCCTTACCTGAAAGAATGGCAAACTGTCTGTGAAGTTGTTCTATTATATCCACTGCCACGAAGGGCCTGATTTCCTGCTGCATAATTTCATCTGCACAAATGAAATACAAATTAGGTTAAATCCTGGCAAAATACACAATGGAATTAAAAGAAAAGGGAAGTTCCACTCCCAGGGGAATCTGGGATTTATCATCTATGGTTACGAGCACATTCTTTCTTGGAAACTCGATTCCTGAAATGCAGGAACAGATCCAGGTTTTGTGTGGTTCGAAGCTTGTACAATGAGCATTGGAACACAATTCCAGAGCCTTTCTCAGGGTTTTGGAAAGGACCAATGAAAAGAAGGAGCCCTCGAGTTTAAGCTTCATTGGAGTCACAATAACTCTCCTCTACTGGAATGATCTCATTACCAGGGCAGGAATTTATCTACTCCACTGGGTCTGAGAAAGGATATTTTAAATGCAACCAAAACAAGTTACGAGAGTTTGTCTCAAGCCAGGTAATAAAAATCAATCTGGGGTCTATAAGGGCTCTTTGATTTTTATTTCCCTTCCTCCCTCCTTATCCCTCTTGATTCCCCCCACCTTTTTTTTTTTTTTTTTTTGTCTTTTTCTTGCCAGAATACTTCAAGGAGTTTCTTCCTACTGCCAAACATGTTTAAAGAGGCACATCTCCATTTTAGTACTTAAAGATGCTCCTTAGAAATAAAAAGTTATAGATTTCTGAGGCAAAAACCCAACCTTCCAAGCACAAACCTGCCCCTACAAATGCCCTCTAATTCTAACACTGACTATAACTTTGCATTTCTATCCATCTGGGGAAAGGTAATAAGAGAGCAGAATCCTTTAGTCTGGTCTGGGAAGAGAAACGCAGCTTCACCCTCTGTTTCTTCCTAAGATATTATTCTCTTCACTTAGCTATTTCTCAAGGAATCTCAAAGAATGATCTGACTGGTTATTGTTTCTACAGCATTAAACATTTGGTTAGATTAGGGCACAAACCAGTCTTGTGTGCTAATGCTAAATGAGAATTCCCTGTTGGTTCAGTGGGTTACGGTAACATCAGCATTTTCCAGTGTTGATTAATCAAAAGGCAAAGGTTGGGGAAGCTCCACCCAGAGCCTTGGTTTCTACTTCTCAGCTTTGTTGTGAAGGTTTAAGGAAATGATGGAGCAGTATAAAACCTAAACCAAACCCACTGCCATCAAGTTGATTCTGACTCATAACACCCCCATTGGGTTTCTGAAGCAGTAAATCTTTATAGAAGTAGATTGCCCAGTCTTCCTTCTGTGGAGTGGCTGGTGAGTTTGAACCGCCAGTCTTCTGGTTAGCAGTCAAATGCCTTAAGCACTGCACCACCAGAGCGCCTTATGGAGAAGTACAGAGTAGGTGCTAATTATGTCTATTGCTTTGGAATGATGGATCACTGCTACTGTCAAGGGTATATTTGCTTTCTGAAAGTCTTGTGAAGAGTGGAGCAAGTGTCAGCTTAAACCTCAAAACCCTCCTCAATGAATTCTACCATTCTTTCTGGAGGAAAGAGGGTTAACCCAGGCCAGAGTTTTCTTATCCAAAATCAATTCCACTCTGAATTGACTAAAATTCAAAGAATTCCTGTTTTGTTTTTAATAGCAGAGGGTTTAATAATGAAATTGTGGTTCTATTTTGGAGTTCCTGAGTAGTGAAAATGGATAAAGAGCTCAGTTGCTAACCAAAAAGCTGGAATTGGAGTCTACCCAGAGCCACCTCAGAAGATGAACTACTTCTTAAAATAATTGAAAAACAAAACAAACAAACAAAACCATTCTATTGAGTCCATTCCAACTCACAGTAACCATATAGGATACAGTTGAACTTCCCTATAGGGTTTTCAAAGCTATAATCTACAGAAGCAGACTGTCATATCTTATTCCACAGAGCAGCTAGTATGTTGGAACCATCATCAATTTTTGCTTAGCAGATGAGAACCTAACTACTGTGCCACCAGAGATGAACAAAAGAAAAAAAAAAGCCATTGGAAAACCTGTGGAACACAATTCTTCTCTGTTACAGACAACATTACCATGGAAACCTGTGGAACACAATTCTTCTCTGTTACAGACGGCATTACCAGTTGGAACTGACTGGATGGCAACTGTGGGGTTTTTTTTTAGCTATATTTTACAAAACAAAAAAAATGGGGGGTGGGGGAGAGGACCTTCTCTGTTAGATACACAAAATGAAGTATTTAACAACAAAATTATATTAAGTCTGATATTTTCTTTAAAATACTCTCTCCCAAGAATGTGCATAGGGAGGTGAGAATATCTGAAACAAGATAGACAAAATGTGGACAATTACTGAAGGTGGGCAGGTGAATAAGTGTTCATTATACAATTCTTTTGCATATGCTTCAAATTTTCCACAATAAAATGTAAACTATAAGTGGAAAACATAATGAATTTCAGTTGAAACAGGAATTATATACTTCAGTTTTTCAGAACACAACCTCTTAGTGGTCTAGGAAAGTGGTATGGTCAGAAATAGGGCTTGGTTATTACGACTTCATGCCTGTGATGTGTTGTATATCTTGACCTCTATGTGCTAATGAGGCAGGATTAGGTTATGTTATTGAAGATTAGGTCATGGTGAACCCAGGGGAAAAAAAGTGTAGCTTATTGTGCTTGTACCTCAATACTTGAGGTGTGTTTTAAATTAAACATTTTAAGTTAAAGTGAAGATAAAAGGTATGAAAGAACAACAAAAATGAACAACGCCAACCATCACATCTCCCTTTCTCATGTTTTTTAAACAAAGAAACTGAAACCCAGAGAGATTATGAATTTGCCTGTAGTCACACAACAACTTAAGTGTAGAACCTAAGATTGCCCAACTTAAAGATTAATATGTTTCTGGTGTACAATGGTGTCTGATATTATGGAGGATTAGAATTAAAGCAAAAGCAGTGAAACTTTAAGAGGATAGAATTTTGAAGGAGAGAAAAATAAGCTACGATTCTTAGATGTCTTGGACATATTTTGAGCTTGACTTTAGTGGTGATCTTCCCTACAATGCACCACCAAGGGGGACTTTTGTAGACACTCTCATGGTTGGATGGATGATGGTCCTGACCCAGTTCTTCTATTCATAGGTTCTAATGATGACTTCTTAAAGCTTAATTGCTTCATATATCCTGGATTTTGTCAGAAAATACTCAAAAAGAGGAAGGCTGGTCCAGATACTCTCTGGATTACAACCTGAACAGTCATGTGGGAAATAAGCATATTGATGCAGGCATTCCCTTTAAAGGGACCTCAAGTTTCTGCCCTCAAATCAGAGAATTTCTGCTGAAGTTCACTAGGTCTGAGATACGTCTCTTCTTCTGAGAACTTCTGGCTCCCAAGAATATTACCTACAACTTCCCTGAAAAACTAATTTCAAGAGAGAAAATTCTCAGGTTCTCTGTAATAGTCATATGCAATGAGGATTAAACCATTTTCTACTTTTGTTATTTCTGTGTGGCATTAAGTCAATTCTGACTCATAGTGATCCTATAGGACAGACTGGAACTGTCCCATAGAGTTTCCTAGGCTGTAATATTTACTGGACTAGATCACCAGGTTTTTTCTCCTACTGTTGTTGTTGTTGTTATGTGCCATGAAGTCAGACCCGACTCATAGCGACCCCTCCTTGGGTTTCCAAGGCAGTATCACTACGGAAGTAGATTGCCCAACCTTCCTTCCAAGGAGTGGTTGGTGGGTTTGCACCACCAGCCTTCTGGTTAGCAGTCAAGTGCCTTAGGCACTATGCTACCAGAGCTCCTTTTCTCCTACTGGTGAGTTCAAATTACCAACCTTTCAGTTAGTAGCTAAGTGCTTTACCATTGTACCACCAAAGCTCCTTCCATTTTCTGTTTAGAGTATCACAATTTTACTTTAAAGCATGAAAATGAGAACTCTTTATATTACAGTCCAAGATAAAAGCCTCATCACTCACTGTAAAAAACCTTTTTAGAGAACTTCCACAAAACACATGCGCATAAAAGACGGGCCTTTTGTTCTTACATAGAAACCAAGCACTTCCTTCATACATGTCTATTCTCAGGACACTTTCTGGAGCACACTTTAAGGAAAAAAAAAACAACAACAACAACAACTCTCTACTAAATAGATGCTTAAAGCAGAATTGATGTTGATAGAAAAAAATGAACCCAGGTTTGGCCATTAATTCCTGATGTCTTCAAAGCATTGATAAAGGATTAATTGGGGGATCGGGGTGGGGAGTATCTTAGTTATCTAGTGGTACTGTTACAGAAATACCACAAAAGGATGGCTTCAACAAACAGAAATTTATTCTCTCACAGTTTAGGAGGCTAGAAGTCTGAATTCAGGGTGCCAGCTCCAGGGAAAGTCCTTATCTCCTTTCAATAACTACAGGCCCAGCATTCCTTGGAGATCACCATGTGTTTTGGCATCTATCTTCTTCTAGGTCTAGGAAGTTCTCAGTATAGGGACCTCAGGTCCAAAAGAGGTTTTCCACTCCTGGCTCTTCTTTCTTGGTGGTACTGAGGACTCTCCCTTCCTGCTCACTTATCTTATAACCACTCATCTGTCAGTCTGTCATACTATGGTGGCTTGTGTGTTTCTGTGATGCTGGAAGCTTTGTCACTGGTATTTCAAATACCAGCAGGTTCACCCATGGTGGACAGGTTTTAGCAGAGCTTCCAGAGTAACACACACTAGCAAGAAGTGCTTCACTTCATTCTGCTTTCATCCCTTGTAAGATAAAAGGTAATGCAGGCCATACCCCAGGGAAACTCCTCTTACATCAGACCAGGGCTGTGACTTGAACATGGATGTTGTACCCCACCCTAATCCTGCATCATTAACATAACAAACATAACCTAATCCTCATTAACATAACCTAATCTTGCCTCATTAACACATAAAGGTCAGGATTTACAACATATCACAAAATGGAGGATAATCACATCAGACTGCACCATGGAAAAGGATGACATCATTACATAACTACCAAATTACATCATTATATAATTGTCAGACCACTGAGAACTATGGCCCACACAAGTTGACACATATTTTGGGGAATACCACCACTCATCTCTCAGTTTGTTGTACTGTAGTGGCTTGCCTGTTGCTGTGAGGCTGGAGGCTATGCCATCAGTATTTCAAACACCAGCAGAGTTACCCATGGTGGACAGGTTTCAGAAGAGCTCCCAGACTAAGACAGACTTGGAAGAAGGAAGGGGCCATCCACTTCCCAAAGAACTGGCCAGTGAAAACCTTATGAAAGCAGTGAAACACTGTCTGATGTATTACTGGAACACTTTCTGAAAAGCCCTGAAACATTGTTGATATAGTGCCAGGAGATGAGCCCCTCAGGTCAGAAGGCACTCAAATATGACTGGGGAAGAACTGCTTCCTCAGAGTAAAGATGACCTTAATGATGTGGATGGAGTAAAGCTTTCAGCACCTTGATTTGCTGATGTGGCATGACTCAAAATGGGAAGAAACAGCAGCAAACATCCATTAATAATAGGAACATGGAATGTACAAAGTATGAATCTAGAAAAATTGGAAGTTGTCAAAAATGAAATGGAATGCATAAAGATCGATATCCTAAGCATTAGTGAGCTGAAATGGACCAGTTTTGGCCA